CAATGTCAGTAAGTTAATGCAACAAAAGTTTATTTCTTCTCATACTACGTTATCAACATAGGCTGTGAGCTGTACTCTATATGTCTCTCCCTCTAGGACTCAGGCTGATTGAGCAAAGTCTATCTGGAGCATCTGAAATATTGTTGGTTGCCTTTTAAATAAGAGAGAGACAGAGACATAGAAAGAGAACTCTGAAAGATAAATAAAATCTCAAAACAAGAAATGATTACAACTAATTATAATCTTTTGATCCTATGCAAGAAAAAAAAAAAGAGTGAGAGACTGAAAAGTCCAGTATTACATGTCAACCAGGAGAAGGAAAGCTATCAATATTTGGTAAACAGAAATAACTACCAAAATGCTGAAACTCTGAGTTTATCAACATTTTTTCTAGCATACTCTTCAATTCAACGTGGAAATAAATATGTGAAACCACAACAGAATTTGACCTAAAGTAACAAGGGGGAAATCTGGTATATTTGTTATCCATGGTTGCACAATAAATCACCCCAAAAGTTAGCAGCTTAAAACAACAAAAGTATATTATCTCACATGGTTTCTAAGGATCAAGAATATGGGCATACTTAACTGAGTGTTTCTGAAGCAGTCTTCAGTGAAAATTTATTCAAGCTGTCAGATGACCATACAGTATCTGAAAATATGATTAGGGCTGGAGGATCTATTCCAAGCACACTCGGGTGGCTGATGAGAGGAGACTCAGTTCTCTCCCACAGGGCTATGCATAGGGCTGCTCTTCCTAAGGCGGATCATGACTTGGCTTCCCCCAGAACTAGTGATACCAAAGAAAGAACAAAAGAGTACCCAAGATAGAAGCTATAATATCTTGTATACATGCATCTCAAATGACATATCATCACTTTTTCATAATTCTATTGATCACACAGACCAGCCACTGTAAAGTGTGGGTGAGAGAGGGAGATCACAAAGGTGTGAATGCCAGAAGGTGGAAATCATGAGGGAGCCATCTCAGAGGCTGTCTTCTATAGTCCATCCTCTGGTTTTCAATGATTCATATCTCTTCCACATGCAATATACATAAACACCTTCTCAAGACCCTTAAGTATCTCAACCCATGACCCATAATAATCAACTCATAATCTAGAATCTCATCATCCAAATCTTATCTAAGCGTGAAGAGAAAATTATCTGTCTCACACACTCAAACATACCATGCTGAGACAGGCAAACAATAAATACTATGGACATTCCTTCTCAAAGAAGGAAAATAATTGGCACACAATGGTTATTAGTACAGACCAATTCTGAAATTCATCCAAACAAATATTGGAAGTTACTTGATTGAAACTCAGTCCTATTCCTGTCTGGAAATGACTTTCCATGTCTCCTGGCTCTGCTCACAAGGTTCTCACTTCCACATTCCAATCACTCTTTCCATTACATAAAATGTAGCATGCATTTTCATCTTAGTTTTTATCAACCTGCTTCCTGTTTGTAAAAGTTCAGAGGTCCAAAAGTCTCTTTTCATTTTATACTTCCTTTTTTATTCCAAGCTACCAATATTTCAATCCTTTCAAGCCAAGTGAGCAGTATTTCTGCTGATATAATTTATTAAAAATACTGCGATATTCTGTGAATGTTATTATATTTCAGCCAAGCACACAAATCTGTTTGAGATAAGCCCTTCTCTTTGGGCTTTTGCTGAGATGACTAAGGAACAACAATCTTAAGCTTAAGAAGCCCTATTTTGTGATTGACAGAATCTGAGGAATACCCTTTTACAGTGTTTTTTATAAGAAAGATCTCAAAAAATGATTTTACAATCATACCTTAAGCTTCATCTTTAGACCATGCTTTCCTAAGAGTTCACTGGATTTGCTCTTTTCTTGAAAACCATTCCTTAATTTTAGTTTTCTTTGCCATCTGAAAAAGCTATAATCCAACAAGTCCAAGCTTTTTTTTTTTTTTAATCTAATGGTCCTCCCGTTAGCTTATTTTTCTTCTTTTGCATTTTACTATAATCAGCAAGAGAAAAACAGGGGGTATTTTTAACCTTGCAGTTATAAATTTCTTTAGCTATATCATCCAGTTAATTTGGGCACATTGTCTAATGTGCACATTACTACAGGCAAAAGGTTGATAAACTTTCTGCCACTGCATAACAAGGATCTCTTTTCTCCCGATCTCCAGTAATATTTTTCTCACTTTAAGACCTCACCAGCAGGCTCCTCAGAATTCAGAATTTTATGAAGACTGTATTCAATGCAGAGTCCAAAATTCCATAAATAGTGTGTTCAAGACATGCAATCATTTAACTTGTACTATTATCAAAATCCTTATGGCTTTTCCCAGTTCTACTCACTGCCTGATTCCATCACTTCTACATAATAGATTTTTGTTAAGTCAGTACTCAAAATTGCCTTCAAACTTAGTAGCTTAAAATAACAAATACCTATTACCTTATATGGTGTCTGAGATGCAGAATTGAGAGCATGCTGTCCTGGGTTGCCCTGGCTCAGTGTCTCTTAAAAGGCTGCAGTCAAGCTATTAGCTATGTATATGATCTCTAAAAACATGACTGGCCCTAAAGGATCCATTCCAAGCACACTCACTTTGTTGGCAAAAAAGTAGCAATTCTTCACTGGTTGGGTCATTCCATAAGGCTGTCCATGAGCTGGCTTCCTCTAGAACAAGTACAGAAAGAGAGAGAGAAAGAAGAAAGTAACAATATTTTTATAACCTAATCTTGAAGTGAAATACCACTACTTTTTTGCATTCTGTTGGTCACACACAAAAAAAAACCCAGGCACAAGTGGGCAGGGACTACACAAGTAAATGTAATGACAGGAGTTAGAATCATTGGAGGCCATCTTTAGAGGTTATCTTGCCAGATATGTGAGTTCCAATGAAGATAGAATAGTAGATTTTGTTGTAAGAAGAAATAGTTCACTTTTATTATTTTTTTTTTCTTCATTACAAAGCAGAGTCATTAGTCTAGAATGAATAAAGCAAGACAGTTGAGTTTTGTGGGAATGTTTGAATATGTGGGAGACTCTTGGAGAATGGGAATAAAATAAACTAAGAGTATCTGGTAGGGCTACCACTGCCACTTATTCTTAGCAATAAATTTAAAGTACATAATGTGTTTTTGTCTAATAATGTTCTGTTGCTTGTTGGTAGTCTCAGTGTAAATGAACTGTTGAAGTTTAAACAAGATGGGGCTTTGCAACAAAAGTGCTATAAATAAAAAGAATTTTTTTTAAGTTGTAGGAAACCAAAAGTGTTTGATAAGAAACTATTAAATACAATCAAAGAGTATTTGTGATGTATAAATATTAGGGAGTAGCAAAAGTAAACTACTTGAAAGAAAAAGTTTGTTGTCTTCAGGAATGTATTAATGATTTTTCAAAGAAAGAATTGTTGATATGAGTTATTAAGAGGTATTTGCTATTATGCTTTGAGGAATTGTTTTTGAGAAATGGTTTCTTAAGAAAAAATAAATAAATTTAAATAAAAATTTATTTTAAGAGATGACAAAAAAGGGACTAGGTCTCAAAATAATTGTGACAAAAAATTGGTTAATGTACACTTTAAGCTATGTATGCATACTGAGCACAGCTGTCTTTATATTCCGCTTGTCATAGAACTGAGATTAGAAACAACAAAATCTTCATTATTTCCATTTAATCTGTTTATAAATATATCACAAATTCAAAAATCTTACCTTATTAATTTCCCTTAAGTCTATTTTTGACACTGACAAATGCTTGTGTATTGGGAATAAAAAATTATTACTAAGGTTATAAATTTTGGTATAATGAAATTATATCCCATCACTTAGTAAATTAAGTAGTCTAACCAAGCTTGAGAAGATCTCAGAGGAAAAAAACAGATTTTTATATTACTTTATTTCATATATGAATGAGGAAGAGACTCACTTGTCCTCATACTGAAGGAAATTATCTTTTCTTGACTTTGCAAGGACAAATCATTTTTAATAAATACTTAAATTTTAAGGGGGGGCGGAGCAAGATGGCGGAGGAGTAGGAGACCTAGATTTCGTCTGGTCTCAGGAATTCAGCTGAATAGGGATCAAACCATTCTGAACACCTACGAACTCAACAGGATATCAAAGAGGAGAGTAGCAACAACTCTCTGAACAGAGAAGCAACCACTTACTGGAAGGTAGGACGTGCGGAGAAGTGAATCCGAGGCGATATTCGGGAGGATAGACGGCAGGGGAGGGGCCTCCGCCGGCCGCTTCTGGCAAGTGCTAGAGCCGCGGAGCACAAAATCGGACCTTTTAGAAGTCAGCTCCACTGAGGGACGTCGCTCCAGTGGCTAAGCGGGGGTGGAACCCTCGCGGGACAGTAGGGTCCCAGGACCTTCGGGGTCACAGAAAGACCGGGGGTGCCTGAGTGCGCCAGAGCTCCCAGGTATCGGAGCGGGTAAGCCGGCTGCAGAGATGGAGCTGAGGCGCGGGCTCTCAGCTCGGGGTTGCCATAAACTGTGGTCCGCGGCCCAGTCGGGCCACTGCTCCTCCAGCAGGGACCCAACAAGCGGCAGAGCCGGGGAGACTCCCCTTCCTCCCCCCGGGAGGAGTGGTGCGGGAGCGCACCACAGGGATCTGCTGGGTTTGGAGACTCCACACGGGGTCGGGTGCCAGAGATAGCAACGCTCGGTCACAGGCCGGGTGAGCACGGAGTGCGGCCGGAGACCAGGGACAAGGGAGTGACTGCTTTTCTCTGGGGGCGCACTGAGGAGCGGGGTCCCGAGTTCTCAGCTCCTCCGGGTGGAGATTGGGAGGCCACCATTTTTGCCCTGGTCCTCCAAGGCTGTACGGAGAGCTTGCAGGGAACAAAAGCTCCTGAGATCAAACCCGAGCAGCTTGCTTAGCCCGGACGACAAGGGCGGGGCAATTCAGCCTCCGGCAAAGACATTTGGAAACCACAGCAACAGGCCCCTCCCCCAGACGATCAGCACAAACAGCCAGCAAGCCAAGACCAAGTTTACCGATCAAGGAGAACGGGAGACCAGCGCTAGGGGAATACTGCACATAGAATTCATGGCTTTCTTTTTTACCATGATTCATTAGTTCATCAAAGTTAATTTTTGTTAACTGTTTTTTTTTTCTTTTTCCTCTTTTTCCCTTTTTCAACCAACATCTTATCAATCTCTTTTTAAAAAAAAAAAAATTTTTTATTTTTCATGTTTAGAGTCATATTTTATCCCTTCATAGTAGTTACCCTTATTTTTGGCATATATACATAAGGTGTTCTCTCTTCAAAATTTTGAGATACAGTTTCTTCTAACAGATAAAAATATACCCTAAATCACTAGTGTATGGTTCTGTTCTAGTCTCCTGCCTGATCACATTCTCTCCCTTATTTTTTTCTTAAATCTTCTTCTTTCTTTTTTCAAACAACTTCTTCTCTTATCAAGTCCTTTTATAAAATCTTTTGTAATTTTCATCTTTACAGTCATCTTCTATCCCTTCATTGTATCAACCCTTATTTTGTACATATATGTCTTTCTTCCTTTAAAATTTTAGGAGGCACTTTTTTCTAACAGACCAAAATACGCCCAAAATCTAGTGTGTGGCACTGATCTATGCACTAGCCTGATCATATTTGATCACATTCTGCTTTTTTTGTATTGTTCTGTTTTTGTTTTTATCTTTTTTTCTTTTTTCTTTTTTTTTCTCTTTCTTTTTTCTTTCTTTCCCTTTCTTTTCCCCTGGTTTCAGGTCTTTTCTGATTTGTATACAGTATATTTGCTGGGGACGTTGTAAACCTGTTAGCATTTTGTTCTCTCATTCATCTAGTCTCCTCTGGACAAAATGACAAGACGAAAAAAATCACCTCAGCAAAAAGAACAAGAGGTAGTACCGTCAGCCAGGGACCTACTCAATATGGACATTAGTACAATGTCAGACCTAGAGTTCAGAATCATGACTTTAAAGATACTAGCTGGGCTTGAAAAAAGCATGGAAGTTATTAGAGAAACCCTTTCTGGAGAAATAAAAGAACTAAAATCTAACCAAGTCGAAATCAAAAACGCTATTGATGAGGTGCAATCAAAAATGGGGGCACTAACTGCTAGGATAAATGAGGCAGAAGAGAGAATCAGTGATATAGAAGACCAAATGATGGAAAGTAAAGAGGTTGAGAAAAAGAGGGAGAAACAACTACAGGATCACGAGGGCAGAATTTGAGAGATAAGTGATTCGATAAGACGAAACAACATTAGAATAATTGGGATCCCAGAAGAAGAAGAAAGAGAGAGAGGGGCAGAAGGTATATTGGAGCAAATTATAGCAGAGAACTTCTCTAATGTGAGGAAGGAAACAGGCATCAAAACCCAGGAGGCATAGAGAACCCTTCTCAAAATCAATAAAAATAGGTCAACACCCCGACATCTAATAGTAAAACTTACGAGTCTCAGAGACAAAGAGAAAATCCTGAAAGCAGCTCGGGAGAAGAGATATGTAACCTACAATGGTAAAAATATTAGATTGGCAACAGACCTATCCACAGAGACCTGGCAGGCCAGAAAGGACTGGCATGAGATCTTCAGAGTGCTAAACGAGAAAAATATGCAGCCAAGAATACTATATCCAGCTAGGCTGTCATTGAAAATAGGAGAGATAAAAAGCTTCCAGAACAAACAAAAACTAAAGGAATTTGCAAACACGAAACCAGCACTCCAAGAAATATTGAAAGTGGTCCTCTAAGCAAAGAGAGAGCCTAAAAGCAGCAAAGATCAGAAAGGAACACAGACAACATACAGTAACAGTCACCTTACAGGCAATACAATGGCACCAAATTCATACCTTTCAATAGTTACCCTGAATGTAAATGGGCTGAATGCCCCAATCAAAAGACACAGGCTATCAGATTGGATTAAAAAACAAGACCCATCCATATGCTGTCTGCAAGAGACTCATTTTAGACCCAAAGACATCCCCAGATTGAAAGTGAGGGGTGGAAAACCATTTACCATGCTAATGGACACCAAAAGAAAGCTGGGGTGGCAATCCTTATATCAGACAAACTAGATTTTAAAACAAAGACTGTAATAAGAGATGAGGAAGGACACTATATCCTACTTAAAGGGTCTATCCAACAAGAAGATCTAACAATTGTAAATATCTATGCCCCGAACATGGGAGCAGCCAATTATATAAGGCAATTAATAATAACAAAAGCAAAGAAACACATTGACAACAATACAATACTAGTGGGGGACTTTAACAACCCCTGACTGAAATGGACAGATCATCTAAGCAAAAGATCAAGAAGGAAATAAAGACTTTAAATGACACACTGGACCAAATGGACTTCACAGACATATTCAGAACATTCCATCCCAAAGCAATGGAATACATATTCTTCTCTAGTGCCCATGGAACATTCTCCAGAATTGATCACATCCTAGGTCACAAATCAGGTCTCAACCGGTACCAAAAGATTGGCATCATTCCCTGCATATTTTCAGACCACAATGCTTTGAAACTAGAACTCAATCACAAGAGGAAAGTTGGAAAGAACTCAAATACATGGAGGCTAAAGAGCATCCTACTAAAGAATGAATGGGTCAACCAGGAAATTAAAGAAGAATTAAAAAAATTCATGGAAACCAATGAAAATGAAAACACAACTGTCCAAAATCTTTGAGATACAGCAAAGGCAGTCCTGAGAGGAAAGTATATAGCAATACAAGCCTTTCTCAAGAAACAAGAAAGGTCTCAAATACACAATCTAACCCTACACCTAAAGGAGCTGGAGAAAGAACAGCAAATAAAGCCTAAACCCAGCAGGAGAAGAGAAATAATAAAGATCAGAGCAGAAATCAATGAAATAGAAACCAAAAGAACAGTAGAACAGATCAACGAAAATAGGAGCTGGTTCTTTGAAAGAATTAACAAGATTGATAAACCCCTGGCCAGACTTATCAAAAAGAAAAGAGAAATGACCCAAATCAACAAAATCATGAATGAAAGAGGAGAGATCACAACCAACACCAAAGAAATACAAACAATTATAAGAACATATTATGAGCAACTCTATGCCAGCAAATTAGATAACCTGGAAGAAATGGATGCATTCCTAGAGATGTATCAACTACCAAAACTGAACCAGGAAGAAATAGAAAACCTGAAAGACCTATAACCACTAAGGAAATTGAAGCAGTCATCAAAAATCTCCCAAGAAACAAAAGCCCAGGGCCAGATGGCTTCCCAGGGGAATTCTATCAGACATTTAAAGAAGAATTAATACCTATTCTCCTGAAACTGTTCCAAAAAATAGAAATGGAAGGAAAACTTCCAAATTCATTTTATGAAGCCACCATTACCTTGATCCCAAAACCAGACAAAGATCCCATCAAAAAGGAGAATTACAGACCAATATCTGTGATGAACATGGATGCGAAAATTCTGACCAAAATACTAGCCAATAGGATCCAACAGTACATTAAAATGATTATTCACCACGACCAAGTGGGATTTATCCCTGGGCTGCAAGGCTGGTTCAACATCCACAAATCAATCAACGTGATACAATACATTAACAAAAGAAAGAACAGGAATCATATGATCCTCTCAATAGATGCAGAAAAAGCATTTGACAAAGTACAGCATCCTTTCTTGATCAAAACTCTTCAGAGTATAGGCATAGAGGGTACATACCTCAATATCATAAAAGCCATCTACGAAAAACCTACAGCGAATATCATTCTCAATGGGGAAAAGCTGAGAGCTTTTCCCCTAAGGTCAGGAATGCGGCAGGGATGTCCACTCTCACCACTGCTATTCAACATAGTATTAGAAGTCCTAGCCACAGCAATCAAACAACAAAAAGAAATCAAAGGCATCCAAATCGGCAAGGAGGAAGTCAAACTCTCACTCTTTGCAGATGATATGATACTGTATGTGGAAAACCCAAAAGACTCCACCCCAAAACTGCTAGAACTCATACAGGAATTCAGTAAGGTAGCAGGCTATAAAATCAATGCACAGAAATCAGTGGCATTCCTATACACCACCACCAAGACAGAAGAGAGACAAATCAAGGAGTCGATCCCATTCACAATTGCACCCCAAACCATAAGAGACCTAGGAATAAATTTAACCAAAGAGGCAAAGGATCTGTACTCAGAAAACTATAAAATACTCAGGAAAGGAATTGAAGAAGACACAAAGAAATGGAAAAACGTTCCATGCTCATGGATTGGAAGAACCAACATTGTGAAGATGTCAATGCTACCTAGAGCAATCTACACATTCAATGCAATCACCAACAAAATACCATCCACTTTTTTCAAAGAAATGGAACAAATAATCCTAAAATTTGTATGGAACCAGAAGAGACCCCGAATAGCCAGAGGAATATTGAAAAAGAAAAGCAAAGCTGGCGACATCACAATTCCGGACTTCCAGGTCTATTACAAAGCTGTCATCATCAAGACAGTATGGTACTGGCACAAAAACAGACCCATAGATTAATGGAACAAAATAGAGAGCCCAGAAATGGACCCTCAACTCTATGGTCAACTTATCTTTGACAAAGCAGGAAAGAATGTCCAGTGGAAAAAAAACAGTCTCTTCAACAAATGGTGTTGGGAAAATTGGACAGCCACATGCAGAAGAATGAAACTGGACCATTTCCTTACACCACACACAAAAATAGACTCCAAATGGTTGAAAGACCTAAACGTGAGACAGGAGTCCATC